CATCAATGGGTCCGGAGATACGCCACAAGAGCTCTGAGAGTCACTCGTGTCGCTCGACAATCGAGTTATTTGCTGTTTATAAACAATATTTTCATTTAAAAACAATCATATTTTGGTTTATAGATCACGAAAAACACAAACGTCTTCGAGATATTGGATATGATTTTCAAGACTAGAGATGTGGTTCTGTGCGGCCACTAAAACTTCGCTCAATGAATGGCGTGGATGGACACCAAATTCAAACCGGTTGTACAGTCCTCTCCAGAACCTATGAAATGCATTTGTAAAACACAATAACAGCGCAATTGTTTCATTCATTACTTGATTGTTTGCGGAGAAACATTAACGTCGAGTATGTCTTGTGTGCTCTCTTTGACGTAGAGGGGGTTCAGGAACTCGGCCCTATGGCTATTGATATACGCCCATAAACTGTAAGTTCTCTCAACCACTCTATAATAAACAATCACTAATTATTGGCAATTGATTGCACAGTATATAAGTTGTGCAGTGAATGCATGCCTGAGATCGCGGCGTTCTTTGTCAGAATTGGAGATAAAAGTGCCGAATTGACAGCTGTGAACGTGGTCGTGGATGGCCAATAGGTAGCGTTCATTAAACTCCCAGTGCTGTGGCAACTGTTGCGTCAATTGCCAGGTGGCGTCCAGAAACTGTGTGAACACGGGTGCCATTTCCTTACTGTCCCCCTGGATATGACCGCAACGATCGCTAAACTTATGGCCAAATGACAGCCACTCCTTCTCAATGAGTGCCTGAAAACCGTCCAAAGTTCGGTAATAGGGCTCCAGTATTAGTGAAGCGACTCCTATGAAACCAAATGAGTGTTAATCTAAATTTGTTTCAAGTAAAGTAAAATGCGGACGAGAGACTGACCACATGTCTGTGCGGTGCGATCCCAGCCGTCGGAACAGTGGACAACAACACTAATGCCATCGTTGACTGCTTTGGCAATGAAAGCTGAAGTCTCGAGCACTGACTTGACGTGTCGTAACCAACCGCTGCCCTCTATGCCGGACAGGAAAGCGTTCATCGACGGCACTTTCAACTCGCAAGCTATACATTCAAGTGATAATGTGTTAACTAATCATTTGTGTCCATCAATAGTTTTGACTCGACATACCGTCCATCAGTTTCTGAAGACTACCTCTCATCACATGTATGTTCTCAATACCAAAGAAATGAAATTTTGTCTTCTCGTAGAAGTACTCGTTCTCATAGCCCTTTCCCTGCGCTTTGTTTACCATTGCATTGATCTGACATTTAAATCGAATTAAAATTATATTTTCCTCATAAACACAATGCCATTGGTTTACTGCTAACCATTGGTCTCGTGTCCACAACGTATAACACATTGGATTTGGGATTTGCTTTTAAAATACAACCAAACAGTTGTTCGTCTTCAACACAACGGGCGCTAAATCCAGATAAGGGTTGAGCGCACCGACAGATCGCAGCCTTCATTGCATATTAAAAGAGTAGATTATGAAATGTTTATTACGTCAGTTTATATTGAGATAATATTACGTTATTCTTATGGAGATATGTAAGGACTGGGAGCCGGCCTTTAGACCTAAAGTTAGCGCTGCCTAACAGTATCTGTTTGGTGGCACTGGACGGGCAGTATAGGGTTCGCGGATATGTGTCACAAATCTATTAACAATTAAACAATAAATAATTAAAATTATAGACATTTAATGATTTGAATAGAAGACCTCATAATTGGTGTTAATAGTGGTTTGATTCCAGTGCTGATTAGGACAACCCATGCGCTGAAACTCCGATTCGTATGTGTATTGTTGCCAACCGTCCTCTTTCTCGAAGTGCTCATTACTGGCCGTATAGTTAAAGCAATACAAGTCCTCGATATTGGCTGACAATGAGTGCAAACAATTAATTCAATTCATAGACTATTGCATAACTAGTAGACATGCATTGGTAGACCATTACTGGGTTGCGAGAGCTGATAGATGGAGAGGTAGATGTCGTGGGCATCCCTTTCCTTAGGGATGACGAAAGTGACGCACAGGAAGTGTTTGCATCGCATGAGAAGCGGTGAACCCGTTGTAGTGATCGACAACTTCTCGATCGATGAGATCAATGTGTGAAGAATCCAATTCTCGCGCTTCACGTTGTGGTC